TACCTTCGCGCCCAACCGAATCTCAACCCACGACAGATTCGCTGGTTGGACTATCTCGAGTCCAATTTTCACTACACCGTCACGTACAAAAAAGGAGCATCCAACATCGCCGACGCTCTCACCCGCCTCACCGCCCAACTCCACGCCATCCTACTCGCCCAGACCAACCCGCTTTTAACTGGCCTATTCACCCACGGATACCGCACCGACCCATTTTTCACGACCGGAAATTCACAGCAACTGGCAGAAACAAAAGGAGTCTATTACGTAAAAACAGGCACCAACCGCATTTGGGTACCCGCGTACTCACTACTGAGGGAGCTGCTACTGCAGGAGGCACACGACGGGATTACCTCGGGACATTTCGGGGTCGAAAAAACACGACAGCAACTGCAGCGGTATTATTACTGGCCGGAGCTGTTGACCGACGTACAGCAGCACGTGGGCTCGTGCCCGACGTGTCAGGTAATGAAGAGTTCAAGGAAGCGGAAGGCGGGTCAATTGCAGCCGATCCCACCGCCCGAACGCGCCTGGCAGCAAGTAACCATGGACTTCGTCACAGGGTTACCTTCGAATCCTGGGGGTAACGACGCAGTGATGGTCGTCGTGGATAGGCTGACGAAGATGGCACACTTCGCTGCGTGCAAAAAGTCGATCTCAGCCGAGGAGACCGCGCGCCTGTTCATCGCAGCCGTTGTTCGCCTGCACGGGATACCAGCAGCAATCATCAGCGACAGGGACACGAAGTTTACCAGCAACTTCTGGAAGAACCTCTGGGAGCAGTTCGGGACCAGGCTACAGTTCAGTTCGTCGTACCACCCCGAGACCGACGGCCAAACGGAGCGGACGAATCAGACGATGGAGCAGTTGATTCGTGCCACGTGCGACGACCCCACGACCTGGGAGCAGCAGCTGCCGCTGATCGAGTTCGCGTACAACAACGCCACATCAGCCACGACGCAGCAGTCCCCGTTCTACCTGAACTATGGGCAAAACCCCACAGTGCCCATGACGCCGAGTCCGGACAACCCAACGCCACGTGCACAACAATTCGCCGAAATCCTGCAAGCTGCCCGTACCAGAGCCGCCGAAGCAATAAAAAAAGCCAACGTCATCGCTAAGCGCAACGCTGATCGCCACCGCCGTCCTGTCACGTACCAATCTGGAGATTACGTGCTGCTCGACACGCAAAATCTGCGACTGCCCGACGTACCGAAATTACGACCGCGCTACTGTGGACCATTCCAAATCAGTCACATGATCACACCCGTCACTGCACACCTACTGTTGCCAACCGACTGGTACATTAGCCCTTCGTTCCACGTCAGCCTACTTCGCCCATACATCCCGACCACAAGTCAACTGCCGCGTCACCGGCCACAATCAATGACTCGCCCTGCATCAGAGCCGATCATCGAGCCCGAAAAAATTCGGAGCCATCGGATCCGCCACCCCACGGGAATCAGGAGGATTGAATTCCTCGTTCGCTGGAAAGACCGCACGCCAACTGAAGATAGCTGGGTGCCCCTGAGCACCATCGAAAATCACCCTGCCCTGCAAGTGTACCTGAGGAGCCGGGGATTCCGCGATATATACGCACTCGCGTAGCGGAGGGGGCTTCTTAAGGGGGGGGGTAGTGTAAGGAATTTTCTCGGCATTCCTTACGGAGCCGACTACATCGCGTACAGCAAAACAGCCGATTGTTCGCCCGTTACGGTACTACTAACGGAACTTCGCCGGCTTCGCGCGCACTGTTTTGCCAAACCTCGCACTGCTGGCATGGCCGCATCGGCCTACGCTTCGGGACTAGCCCGAGCCTCGCTCCAGCGTAGCACTAGCCAGCTCGCACGCACCGCGTTACCGTTTTGCATGTTTCGCGTATAAATGTTCGCTCATGCCTTCGCTCACATTTTGTACTCGTTTGACACCTTAGTGCAATTCTCGCTACCTCGATTCATTGCACCCGTAACAAAACTAAACAAAGCTATTTGTAAGCAACCCCTATCAGCAATGGCATCTACTTCTCATACTCATGCAAATCATGTGCTTCATCTGCCAATAGGCTCGTATCTGCCTCCCATTCATCCGCAGAAACAGGAGGCATGCCCCTCACCTTGCGCCTCATGTTGTGCTTGTGCCAGTCCGATTTCATATGCTCCCGAAACAACTTGGTGTCATCAAAAGTAGCTCCATCCCCACATGTGCTGCAACGCTGCTGCCTCCCGCTCGGTTTACAGCCCGCACTTGAACCACCTGTTGCACCACCACCTCCTGTAACCCCATCTGAGACAGCAACCCCTCCCAGTGCTCTGGTAGCTGCTTCTACCAGCAACTCAGCATCCCTTCCAGCAACGCCACCTCCACCTACCCTCCCACTTCCTCGTCCCCCAGCCTCTAAACCGCTCTGCACCTGTACCCTGCCTGCCTGAGCTCCCCTATCCTCTGTTGTTCCTGCTGCTGCTTCCCTTCCATGTGCCGTCATGGCAGTGCCAGCAACCATTGCTTCGGATTCGTCGAGCGAGTCAAAGGACAAGTCGCCCTCTTGCTGCACTGCTGCTGCCCGCACCTCCAGCCGCCCCCTCACACGCTGCATGAGCGAGTCCACTTCTCTGAACCGGCCCGGCTCGATCTGACACACCTGGTCACAAGCAAGCAGGCAGGCAGGCAGGCGGCAGGCAGGCAGGCACCACATACAAAAAGGAGAAAGGGGTCTAGCATCACTTGAAATGCACCCCCCGTACGAGGGAACATATGGCAGCAAGCAACCGATGTGATGGTGGATGATGTATGGAATGGATCTGAAAAAAAACCAAGCAACAAACTGGATCTAACCTCTGGGAAGAGAATTCACATGCCAAATCTTTGAGTGTGGGTCTGTTGTGCGGTGTCTCAAGACTCTGTCAAACACAACTCCACGACTCACCATTGAGACCTGCGCAGGTGCGTTTTGGGCAGAGTCCACTGGCTGTGCCTGCGAGCGCATGAGCGCGCCCATCTGCTGCAGCTCCGCCTGCACCGACGGCAGCGCGGTGGATGGAAGCACAAGACGCAGCTCCATGCGCGCCCGCGTGATGGGAAAGCGCTGCGACAGCTGGCGGATCAGATCCAGCGCCTGGTGGGGTTGTGCATTGGTGGAATTTGCATGCCACGGCGGCCAGGAAGAAAATGGGAGTTGGATGACCTGCTGCGTGCATTTTGAGTTGAAAATAATATAATCCCAATGATTGCACAGAATGAAGAAAAAGAACAAGAAAGGGTAGAATATCGCCTGATTGCTGTTTCTCTACGGCATGACATGCACTCGCCTGCTGCTTGGAGGATCGATTGGGGTCAACGGAGAAATGGATGTCCCGGATGAACTTCTCCACAATGCCCACCGGATACGGCCGGTGCGTCTCAGGGTTCACTGTTCGCTCCGTTACAAGGCACGTTATGTCCCTTAATAACGCGGATGCCTGCATCTCCCGCTCCTTTTCGGACACCTGGTACTCCCCTTTCTCCAGAATCTGCAGTTGTGCAATGTAAGCAGGATCTCAACAAGAATATTGTAAGAATTCGGAGATAAACGCATCCGCCTGAAGCTTGCCATCACCTGTACCTACGTTTCTGCTTCGAGGGTCATGGGTCAGGGTTTTGGGGTCAAGGTTTTTGATAAGGCATAGCATGCACAAAACTTCGAAACGCTTTTACAGAGACGACAGGGGCTCACCTCAAGGCACACCTTCTCCTGGTCGTCCGTGCCAAACGCTGCGACGAGATCCTTGGATTTCGCGAGTGTGCCTTTCCCCACGTTGGAGAACACCGTCTGGCTCTGGAGCACCTCGTCCAGGTCCTTCTCGCTGTCATGTCACCAGGGAAAAATTGACACTCAACATGAATAAAAGAACGGCGATGGGAAAAATTGAGATGTGACATATTTTGCGACGGTGCTTTCTGCCTGGTTTCAGAACGCCGCCTGGGTCTGCAGCACCTCATCCAGGACCTTCTCACTGTCACCATGGAAAATTTCGACGACAGAAAAAAAGAAGGGGCGGGGAAGCGTCGTGGAGATATCGAGGCATGAAGGACAAGGAAGGTGGTCAAACTCGAGCAAGGAAGAATCCCGCGCACACAAAACAGGAACACCGCGAATATCAAAGCCCATAAATCTAGAATCCGGCCGCTGTCAGTCACCCGCCGGTAGGGAATACAATCGGAGTGAAACGCAGAAAGCATCGGGGAAAGCCTTACACGCGTGTCCTCCAGGAAACCACCTTGTTCTTGTAGCACGCGATCTCGAACCTCATCCCGCCCTTTTTTAACCTCACGACCGCGATATTAGTCAGGCGCTTCTGCCCTATCGGTTGCTTGTAAGCCGACATGGCGGTGGCGCTGTTCCTAACACTGGCTTGGTGGGAAGTATGTCCGTTAGTGCTCCTAGTTGTTGTTCCTCCGTATTCATAGCTCCAGCAACACACTCGTACGCAGTAGTCGATACCTCAGAGCGAGCATATATGCAGGTAAAGGGATGGTCATCTAAATGCCTGTTCAGTAGAGTAATTCTTTTAGGTATGCATTTGTTCAAGGACTAGTGTTTCCAAAGCAACTGTGAAGAGGAATGATTGGTGAAAATAAAAAATGGGCACTATATGTAGATATCCTATTCATCACTTCAGAATTCTAAATTTTAAGAAGCGGCTAAAATTATGAGGTATACCTAATTATAAATTGAGGAGCATGATATTAAAATATGGTATATTCTTATATAATTGCGTGTTTTAGCTAGTAGTGTAGGGTCTTGGTGGTACACCCCCCTTTTTCCACCTTTCCTACCTATATCTTGTAACTCTCTCATATTATAAACCCTTCTTTTGTTTAGCCAATACCTCTCCTTCCTAGCTCCTAAGGTTTCCATGTATCCTAAGTTCTAACTACCTCTCTTGACATGGTTTCAGAGCTACTACGGTCTTAAGACCTATATTTTTTTTTAAGGATCATGGGCCCACTCGTCACGCAGCTAGATGCGCCCCGCGGGCAATACGTTTTGCTCCCGCGCAGCCCGTCTTGCGCGCGCGCGGTCTGTCTCGCCCGTTGCATTCGTCGCCCGTCGCACCCCAGGCTCTGCCCATCCTGTCCCCTGCTCGTCGCGCCCCGTCGGCTGCCCTGCGGACGCCCCGTCGGCTGCCCCGCGCGCGCCCTTTTTGTCGCTAGCGCGGGCGCCAGCGCCACAGCCAGCAGCGAGCGCAAGCGCCAGCGCGGACCGCCAGTGCGGACCGCCAGTGCCAGCACCTGCGACCGGCGCCAGCGCCAGCGTGAATGACGGCGTTAGCGCCGGCAGCAGCCAACCCCCCCCCCCCCCCCCCCCCCCCACCCCTCGCCCTCCCTTCCGCGGCTTCCGTCGTGGGGGGGGAGGGGGAGATGTAGTGGTGGCGGATATGAGCAGCCGGCAGCCCGTCCCTCCCCTCCCTCTTCCTCTCTCCCTACAGCACTTGTTGCTGTGGGGGGGGGGGGGGGAAGGGAAGAGGTTAAGGGGGGAGGAGAGGGAGGTTAAGGGGGTGGAGAGAAAGAGAGAGAGAGTGAGAAAGAGAGAGAGAGAGAGAGAGAGAGAGAGAGAGAGAGAGAGAGAGAGAGAGAGAGAGAGAGAGAGAGAGAGAGAGAGAGATTAAGCCCCTCGTTTCCGTCGTTGTCGCTCTATTGCGGGGGTTAAACCGCAGGCGGGTATCCTACCAAAGGGCCCAGTTGCTGCACGATGATTGATGCGCTCCCTACACCAACTAGTCTGCATTCAATTAAGCGGGGATGTTAGAATATGATGTGTTCTTATATCATTGCATGTTTTAGCTAGTAGTGTAGGGTCTTGGTGGTATACTCCACTTTGTCCACCTTTCCTACTTATATCTTGTGACTCTCTCATATTGTAAACCCCTCCTTAGTTTGGCCAACACCTCTCATTTCTAGCTCCTAGGGTTTCCATGTCTCCTATGCTCTAACTACCTCTCTTAACACATGAGCCAAAGGGGTGAATGGCATGCGAAGGTGGGGACTGTTACGAATAGTGAAATGGGAAAGACATTGTGCACTCCTAACCGCAGAAAATGAGGCTCACTGTATCGAGGCTGGATTTGAAGAGGCAAGATGACGAGAAGAGTCGCGTACGGCTACAAAACATATAAACCATTAGGGCATACATCATCAGAAAGCAGCAGTGGCATGGATTCTGCCCGAGTAGTTCGTGATCGTACAGAGTCGCACGGTTGGATTTTGCTATGATAAGGGAATGTATCCCTTGTAGTGTCAGAGGTCCACTGGTGATTCTCTATTGATTCTAAGGAAAGGTTACACGCACGTCGGCCTTAGGGGTTATGGGCGCACTTACTCGCTACACAAACAAGCCTTTTTATCCCAGTGGTTAGTGGCTTAGATTCTGATATCAGAGCGAAGGTCTCCGGTTCGAGTCCCGGTGTATGCACTTCGGGCATCCCAGAGCGGGGGGGTGTCGGAGGTCGACTGGTGATCCCCGATTGATCCTAGAGAAGGGTTGCGCGTTGTCCTGAGGGGTAACGAGCACATTTACCCGCTAAAGAAACAAGCCATTTTATCACAGTGGTTAATGGCTGAGATTATGACATATAGTACATGGCTAGCAAGGTCGTTCCATAATCCACGTGTAGTCTTATTTATATGCATGTATTTGCATGTTTTCATCATCTCAATCATTTTACATCCACTATGATTTGAGGTCAAGGGCCCACCACCACCACTCAGTCGTGTGCAAACCTTCCTTGGGTGATCTTGGTTACGATCAACCTATGATCGCAGCAGAGGCTAGACGAAAATTCGCCCGCAAGGACCCTACCATGTTAGCGGTCCTCGTGTTGAACGCATGGGGGATAGCTGACGAACCTTCGTGGGAATAAATCCACGATAGGAATGTCTATGATTTAACTACAAGGTAGTGTGAAAAGGCAATTGTGGTGTGCACATATTGTGTATGGTAGGGTGGACGGGGGAGAGTGTTGTTAGGTGAGTGTGAGAATAAGGGAACAGGAATGATGAACTAGCAGTGAAAAATGAGTACAAGTAGTAAACCCTAGAATTGTGTACCCCTTATAGGCTAACCCACTGTCGCCTACACAAGCATAACATATATAATGTTTGACACACCCCCATAGGCAAAGTGGGGGAGAACAAGGGGTCACAAGACCAGTCAAGCAAAGCAAAGCAAAGCTCAGGGTGGATCACAAAGTCACCACACAGTCCGAGCACAAGAGCAGGGCCAGAGGCCAGTTCAAATGCAGGAGTACAGACATATATATAAAACTAGACAAGCAAGAGCAGGTATATATATATATATGTCACAGTACAAGTAAAGTCAAGAGGAGAGCAAGTGAGGCAAGACAGGCACAAGACCCAGCTGGGTACAAAAGCGCTGATGGTCACAAGGCGCGAGTGCCTTGGTGAACACATCAGCAGTGTTGGCCTCAGAGGCCACGTACGCAAGTCGCAACTGACCACGCTGCTGCAGCTCACGAGCAAGGAAGTAGCAGAGAGCAATGTGCTTCGTTTTGTGCTCCAAGCGCTGCTCTCGACACAAGGACAGCATGGCCTTGTTGTCTACGTACAGCACTGGAGGAGAACGAGGCGGCTCTCCAAGGTCAGTCAGCAGGTAGGTGAGCCAGCGAAGCTCCTGTGCAGCCATGGCCCCGGCGTAGATCTCAGCCTCACAACTGGAGCCGAGAACCGAAGACGAGCGAGTAGACCGCCACGAGACAGAGCCGGAACCAAGGCTGAAGGTGTAACCCTGTGACGACCGCTGCGTAGCCTGGTCGTCAGCCCAAGAAGCGTCCGCGTGGCCTGTAAGGACCACTGGACTCCGCCCTCCAAGCACTAGCCCCATGCCCGACGTACTGCACAGGTAGCGCAATACACTCTTCGCTGCAGCCATGTGCTCTGGTCGGTGTCTCCCAGGAGCAACATAGCGTGCAAGAATGCTCAGAGGGTATGCAAGGTCAGGTCGTGTGCAGGTCATCAGGTACATGAGGCAGCCAACAAGCTCTGCATACGGACCACTCGACTCTACGGACTCATCCGAAGGCAGAGCTGAGAGTGAGTGGCGAGTAGGCACAGGAGTGGCCTGAGGCGAGGAGTACGTGAAGCCGAAGCGCTGAAGGACCTGCTGCACCATGTGTGACTGAGTCAAGGTAATGGTGCGGCGTGCTCTGTCCCGAGTGATCTGCAAGCCAAGGTAGCTGCGCAGTTCACCCAGGTCTGTGCACGTGTGTCTCTTCAGCAGCTCGGACTTCACGTAGGCGAGTCCAGCAGTGTCCGCTGTGGCAAAGACCAAGTCGTCGACGTACACGAGGATGTAGAAAGGCGGCAGGGAAGTGTCGGTGCGCAGAAACAGCGACGGGTCAGCAGTAGAAGGAGCAAACCCAAGAGCCGCAAGAGTAGTCCTCAGTGTGTCGTGCCACTCACGCGGTGCCTGACGGAGACCGTAGACTGGCCGTCGGAGGCTCCACTGGGTGCCAGGAGGGAAAGTCCCAGTGAAGCCAGGCGGACGGCGCAGCCAGATCTCCTCGTGTAGGCTACCCTGCAGGAACGCAGTGCTGAAGTCGAGAGAGTGCAGCTCGTAGTCGCGCTGAGCGGCTATGTGCAGCAGCACCCGAAGAGTGGTCATCTTCGGGGTGGGAGAGAAGGTCTGAAAGTAGTCAACTCCCTGAAGACAGGTGGAGAGCCCGGCGGCCGCTTCACCCTGAAGATCCACATGCCAATGACGATGTTCGCCCGAGGAGGGGGAACCGCGTCAACGTAGGTGCCTGTGGACTTCCAGGAAGCCATCTCTGCATCCATAGCTGCCTGCCACTGAGAGGAGTAGGGACCCTGTACGGCCTCCGCGTAAGAACGCGGAGTCGGGATGTCTAGTGCATCCGGGTCTCCCTCAGGGGCAAGCAGTACAGACGCGAGATGAGGTGAAGCAGCCGCTAGACACTGTAACTCCTCCTGCCTGTCCTCTAGGACGTCCGTGCCAAGAGCACACTCACCCCCGACGGACGGAGGACAGACAGACGCAGACTCAGCAACAAGACTAGCAGCGTAGTCGAGACGACAGCGAGCAGCAAAGTCGACGAGCTCAGCGACTAGAGCAGACGCAGCAGTGGACTCAAAAGAGGGGTCAGTGACGACAGTAGCAAGCAGACGCGTGACAGTAGGACTGGCAGCACGAAGAGAGTCCGACTCAGGGTCGGCAAGCGCAGGAAGAGAGGACTCAGGAGGAGAAGGCAAAGGGGCACGCAGGAAAGCAGTGGACGGACGCAAAGACATCCGGTGCGTGCCAGGGACAGGAGGAGGACGCTGACGCGAACTGCGACCACTAGCGCGAGCAGCATGAACAGGCGACGCGGGACGAGACGCAGGCTCACGACGCTCAGCAAGACCTCCAGTAGGACCAGTGTAAGGAGAGGGAGCAGGCAGTGGAGAGGAAGGCTCCAGCAGGGACTGCGATTGGACAGGCGGTGGACCCTCTACTGGAGGAGAAAGACCAAGAACCTGCTGCAGGAGCGGAACGAAGTACGGCCGAGGCCGCGCGGCAGCTCCAGACGCAGCAGGGACAGCACCAGCACCCTCAGCGACAGCACCAGCGCCACCCACACCTCCAGCGGCAGGACCAACAGCAGTAGTCTCAGCACCAACACCCTCAGCAGCTCCAGCTCCAGGAGGACCCGCAGGCCCAGCAGCTCCGGGACCGGCAGCACCAGCACCCTTGACGGTCGAAGAAGCTCCAGCTCCAGCTCCAGCAGCACCCCCAGACTCAGCAGCACGCCTCCAGCGGCGAGCGAACCACTCGCGCAGCTCCTGTGGAGAGAGGGGCTCCCGGCGAGGCGCAGCAGCAGGAGAAACCCCAGGCTCAGCAGCTCCAGACGCAGCACCCCCAGGCTCAGCAGCTCCCAGCTCAGCACCCCCAGGCTCAGCAGCTCCCGACCCAGCACCCCCAGACCCAGCACCTCCAGGCACAGCACCCCCCGGCTCAGCACCCCCAGGCTCCGCACCCTCCGCAGTAGCACCCCCAGGCCGAGCACCCCCAGGCTCAGCACCCCCGCGCACAGCACCCCCAGAGTCAGCACCCCCAGGCTCAGCACCCGCAGCAGCACCAGAGTCACCAGTAACCTCGACCGGGTCAACGGCGTCTACCTAGGACACACCTGAGGGGGCAGGAACCTGAGGGGGGAGGGGGTCTACCGGGGGGGGAACCGGCACAAGGAAGTCCGGGGGAGGGGGGAGGGAAGGAGTGCGGTAGGGGAAGAGACGGTAGAAGGGGACTGACTCGTCGAACGTGACGTCCTGGGAGGACAGAACACGACGAGAGGAGGGGTGGTAAAACTGCCACCCTGGGGCGTCAGTGGGGAAGCCAAGGAAGACACAGGGAGCAGCACGAGGGGACAGCTTGTCCGCAGACAAGTCGCGGACAAACGCCTGAGATCCCTAGACACGGAACGCAGACGCATCGCCAACCTTCCCCGTCCACAGCAAGGCTGGGGACATCGCAGGCCTAGAGACCCGGGGGTGAAGGTTGAGCTGATGCGCCGCGTACCTCACCGCAAACGGCCATAGAAAATGGGGGCAGCCGCATGCATCATGGACGTACGAGCGACATCCATGACCATGCCAATGCGGCGCTCAGCAATCCCATTTTGCTGTGGAGAGTCCGGAAGCGTGAAGGTCTGGCGGATCCCCCGTGCACGACAGTAGTCTCGCAGAAGGCGAGAGGAGAACTCTCCGCCTCTGTCCGAGTGCAGACGCAGAACAGGAAAGTCCGAGCCGAAGCTCTTCCTGAGCTGGAGACGAGCCTCGCGGATCCAGTCGATCAGCACCTCAGTGACCGCACCCTTGCTGCGCAAGGGGAGGACTGTGGTGTAACGCGAGTAGTCGTCAACCACCAACAGGAAGTAGCGCTCGTGACCCTGCCCACGGACGGGGGCTGGGCCCCACACATCCATGTGAAGCGTCTGCAGAGGAGCCTCTGTCGGGGGGAAGTGGGAGGAGTGAGGAGTAGCCCGGAGGCGACCCTCGACACAGGGGACACAGGAAGGTCCTGGCCCGGAGGGGAGAGGAGGGAGAGACTGGGGAAGACCAGAGACAAGGACACGGGAAGCCATGCTCCGAAGACGGGGCAAGGAGGGGTGGCCAAGACGGTGGTGCCACAGGAGAGTCTCGTGAGACAGGAGGCGACAAGAACAGGGGGCAGACTCAGGACCTGACCGGGACGCAGCAGCAAGCACCTGACCTGACGCAGCTACCTGACCGGATGCAGGGACAGGAGGAGACGAAGTGGTCAGGGTGTAGAGACTCGACCCCGGCCGACGTGAGAAAGTGGCCAGGTGTCGGCCTGTGCGTGCGTCCGTGCAGTGGGTCACCCGCTGACTCGCAGGAGTGAACTGGTGAACCCCCGCATCCTGCAGGGCTGCACCACTCACAAAGTTCGTAGAGAACGAGGGAAGGTACAGACCAGACAGGGTGCCCGAAGGGGCAGCCGGACACGGGAGGACAGTGGAGAAGTGAGACAGGACAGGACCCCCAGAGGGGTCAGCAAGGGAGACCGCAACCGGCCGGCCAAGCGGCGTAAGGGTAGTGCGGTCTCGAAAGAAGGAGCGAGAAGGCCCGTAGTCAAGTGTGAAAGTGAGGGAGGACGAGGGCGACGCAGTACCTGAGAGCGCAGTCTCACCAGTACCTGAGAGCGCAGACGCACTGGCACCTAGAGCAGCAGCCTCACAAGCACCTAGCGCAGCAGTACCAATGCCCGGGTCGGGCTGGAAACACCGGTAACCCTCATTCTCCTCACTATAAGTCACAGCATACATAGCAGCAAGGATAGCATCAAAATCAAGATCAAAGATCGCTACACCAGCCCTAAGAAACTCATCCCAGCGAGGGATCTCACTAGCCCCGGGGAACTGCTGACGCCAAGCGTCCGTCAGACGGCCAAAGCAGCGCTGGATGGGGTGGGCACCCCCACACTGCTCACCCGCGCGGTCGCCGGAACGGAGGACGTAGGTGCAAGGACCAGTACCCCCACCCCTCTGACGCTGGGTGTACCACTCACGGAGCTGCTGAGGAGGAGGGATGTCCTGCGAACGCTGCTACTGCTGCTGCTGCGAGCGCTGGCCACCACCGCCTCCGCTCCGTTGCTGGGTACCACCCCTACCAGCTCCACCCCCTCCACCACCACCGCCTCCTCCGCCGCCTCCTCCGCTGCCTCCTCCGCCGCCTCCACCCCCGCCGCTGCCACCACCACCACCGCCGCCGCCGCTACTGCCTCCTCCGCCGCTGCTGCCACCACCACCACCACCCCCGCCACCACTCCCGCCGCCACCCCCACTCCCTCCGCCGCCTCCACCGCCACCTCCACCGCTCCCTCCAGCTCCACCCGCGCCCTTGCCCCCCTTGCCCTTGCTAGAGCGACGTCTCCCACTAGGGGCAGACGCCGCGCCGACCGACTCAAGACCAAGCAGGTCGGCAGCAGCAGCAGAGGCAACAGAGGGCAGCAAGGGGGAAGGAGAGCACCCCTCAAAGATGGGGGTGCGAGGGTCACCACGAGAAGCCCCTACAGCGACTATGCTCTTCTCAGCTGAGAGGAGGGCCTTCTTGAGGAGGTCGACGGTGAGGGTGGTGGGACAGACTGCGAGAATGTGGTCCCTGACTACGCGAAGGGAGTCAGGGAGGCGCGCGACTACGTAGTAGAGAGTGATGTACATGGGGGGGGGGTTCTTAGCCCAGAACTCAGCAGGAAGGGCAGCGCGGTAGCGAGTGTCACTAGTGCGGAGGTGCGTAATGAGGTCAGCGACAGTGGGAAAGGCAGAGAGGTCAGGAAAGAGGTAGGGGAGTATGAGACGGCTCAGTGCAGCAGTGGCAGGGGAAGAGTAGCGCGCAACTACCGCGTCGTACAAGGTGTGAGCACTCTTGTACTGACTAAAGTGCGCACGCTCAGAGGTAGGGAGGTGGCGACGCACAGCAAGACGTGCAGCAGCATCGCGGGTGGCCCACTGGGAGCGCACAGTGGGATCAGCATCAGCAGCAGGGGCAGGAGAGGCGCTAGAGGTGAGGTCGAAGAGAGAAAGTCCGTCTGCCCTTTCGCACTGTAAGAACAGCTGCAGGTCGTCGACCCAGACCTCAAAATCAATGGCGCGACCCTCAGCGTCAAAAGCTAGGACACTAGGGGTAGCCATGACGACGACAGCGAAGCAGTACAAGCAGCAGGGGAAGAGCACGCAGTGACAGTGGGACTGTGCTCACCAGGCAGGGCAGGTCGTGCAGCTCAGTAGAAAGGCGGTTCGGCGACCGGGCGGCTAGGGCGCAGGGCGGCTCGGCTCCCGGGCGGCTCGGCGACAGGGCGGCTCGGGTGCAGGGCGGCTCGGCTCCCGGGCGGCTCGGTGGTAGGGCGGCTCGGGTGCAGGGCGGCTCGGCTCCCGGGCGGCCCGGCTGCACTGCTGCTCGGCTGCTGCATGTGGGCGGCTCGGCTGCTGTAGGTAGGGTGGCGAGGCCGCTAGAGAGCAGGGGCGGGGCCGCGTCAGAGCCGGCGGCGGGGCCGCAAGAGAGCTGGCGGCAAGGCCGCGTGAGGGCCGGCGGCGGGGCCGCGTGAGAGCCGGGGCGGGGCCGCAAGAGGGCCGGGGCGGGGCCGCGAGAGAGTCGGGGCGGGGCCGCGTGAGAGCCGGGGCGGGGCCGAAAGAGAGCCTGCGGCGGGGCCGCGTCAGAGTCGGCGGCGGGGCCGTAAGAGAGCCGGCGGCAGGGCCTTGAGAGGGCCGGCGGCGGGGCCGCGTGAGAGCCGGGGCGGGGCCGGAGCAGAGCCGGCGGCGGGGCCGTAAGAGGGCCGGGGCGGGGCCGTGCGAGAGCCGTCGGCGGGGCCGCGTGAAAGCCGGGGCGGGGCCGCGTAGGAGCCGGGGCGGGGCCGCGTGAGGGCCGGCGGCGGGGCCGTAAGAGAGCCGGCGGTGGGGCCGCGTAGGAGCCGGGGCGGGGCCGCGTGAGAGCAGGCGGCGGGGCCGCGTAAGGGCCTGGGCGGGGCCGCGACAGAGCCGTCGGCGGGGCCGCGTGAAAGCCCGGGCGGGGCCGCGTAGGAGCCGGGGCGGGGCCGCGTGAGAGCAGGCGGCGGGGCCGCGTAAAGGCCGGGGCGGGGCCGCGACAGAGCCGGCGGCGGGGCCGCGTGAGAGCCGGCGACGGGGCCGCGTAAGGGCCGGGGCGGGGCCGCGACAGAGCCGGCGGCGGGGCCGCGTGAAGGCCGGGGACGGGGCCGCGTCAGAGCTGGCTGCGGGGCCCCATCAGAGAGGGCGGCGGGGCCGCGTCAGTGGAGGCGGCGGGGCCGCAGGGGAAATGGCGACCCGAGGGGTCGCTAAAAAAAAAAATCGCGCCTCGGGGCGCGCTTCGGTGGGCAAAAAAAAAAACGGTCCTTAGAAGGACCCGCTCTGTACCATGTGAGAATAAGGGAACAGGAATGATGAACTAGCAGTGAAAAATGAGTACAAGTAGTAAACCCTAGAATTGTGTACCCCCTATAGGCTAACCCACTGTAGCCTACACAAGCATAACATATATAATGTTTGACAGTGAGGAGTAGGTTTCGGTAAGTTGGAAAGAGTAGGAAGCACTGTATGGCATGATCAGCTGGGCAGATTCGTATGAAGGGAGGGGAGTGAGCTGGATTGAGAACGAGGTAGAGGTTGGTGGGGACAAGAGATCATGACGTGGGCCAGAAGGGGGAGAAAGGTTTATAGGGGGCTCGATGAGGTGGGAACATGTAGGAATATGGCCATGAGGTGGACGTGAGAGGTAGGGAGAGAGCTGGGTGATTTGGGTGCGAACAGGGGTGCGGTGGGGCGCTAAGGAGGTCAGCTGGATTGGGGGAGAGTCTGGTAGGTAATGAAGGGCGTGAGGTGGGGAAAGAAGATGGTGAGGTGGAAAGGCGGGGAAGGGGTGAAGAGGGGAAAAAAATGCATGTGGTGGCAAGTGTCAGAATCCCAACCACTAGACCATTGGGATAAAAGGGCTTGTTAAGTAGCGGGTCAGTGCCCCCATAACCCCCCAAGACAACGAGCCTGTAACCCTTCCCTAGGATTAATCGGGGATCACCAGTGGACCTCTGACGCCCCCCCACACCGGGATGCCCGAAGTGCATACACCGGGATTCGAACCCGAGACCGCTCTGTTACCATGTCAGAAACCCAACCACTAGACCATTGGGATAAAAGGGCTTGTTTCAGTAGCGGGTGAGTGCGCCCATAACCCCCCAGGACAACGAGCCTGTAACCCTTTCCTAGGATCAATCGGGGATCACCAGTGGACCTCTGACAGCAAGTATAGTGGAGAAATGAGCAAATGAGGTGGTGCGAGCAAACGGGGAGAGAGGCATAGAAAAGGAGCTTCTAAGGTGTGAGGTGTAAAACAATCTAGTTTTGTACATAATTGTCTGCTGCATCACCGTAGTATAGTTTATTATTGACCCTGTAGTAGTATACCTTGCATACTTGTTTTCCCCTCTAGATAGTGAAATCCCTTCTTCTTTCTCCCGTTTTTTACACTCATCCTAGCACCTAGCTTCTCATAATTTGGCTATTTTCGACATGGTATGGAGCCCAGTTAAACTCCAAGGCATGTTGCCTACTTAGTCATGGCGGCCTCCCTAGTTGGTTGTGGCATGAATTATGCCATGCCCGTTGTTGCGCTCGTCGCTACCTCTGTTGCGCGCCTGTTCCTGGCACCGTTCCGCCCTGTCGTGGCCGCCCAATGACCGCCCTGCCACGCCCCCTTGCACAACCCATTACGCACGTGCCCGCTGCTACGCTAGCGCCGTACTGCAACGGCGGACCCTGTGGGAGGGAGGCAAGGAGAGGAAGGGGGGGGGGGGGGGTTGGGGGGTGGCGATTTTGCCACCTTGCTTACGTATCGTGGGCTTGCACCGCCAGCTTCCGCCTCACCAACCTCCCTGCAATGTTTGATGTTGTCGGGGGGAGGCAAATGGAGTGGCGGTTGTGATCTTGCAGCACCAACCACCGCCCAAACTGCCGCCCTGTCGCACATCCCGCTGCGGAAGGGTGGCTAACGGGGTGGTGGGAGTGAGCCTGCAGAGCCACCGCCCATCTCCTCCCCTCAATCTCTCTCCACTTGCCCTCTTGTCAAAATGCAATTCTACTTGCTAGGCTATTGTGGGTTACTCGGTACGGGATACAACTGTCGAAGTGAAAGGCCCCGCCCTCGCTTGGGCGCTGGCATTCTCTGCGACGACGTGGTGAATTCGACAAAATGATCGTCGCATTGGATCAGCCCGTCCTCTGAAACCGCGATGGATTTTCGAGGAGGTGGTCCTTTGATTCACCAGCCCAACGACGAGCTCTGGTCGACGGGGTGCTGTTTGACAAGCTCCTCCTCTAATCTGCTAGTGAGTCACACGATCTCTGACGGACGGGGTGCAGTCTTAAGAGCCTCGTTCTTTGATCGAGGGGCGTCGTTCGGCGAGCCTCGTCTTGGCGAACTGGTCGGCCGAATTCGCGCGACTGTGGAACTTTGCGAAGGCATGCAAAATTCGCTCAGGTGGTTCTTAGTGAAATTTCACCTGCAGAATGGCATCACGAGTTCGATGGTGTGAACATATGATGAAACCGTCGGAGCGTTTTCTACCTGGCACCTGCGCAATGTCTCTGACGGTGCAACCGTCTACCTGCACCCACTCGGCAGGCGCACACCTGCGCAGATATTCACCTGTGAATGCAGCGCTAGCAAGCTGCCCTGCTGCAGCGCTGGCAGGTCGCCCCTCTGCTACGCTGGCAGGCCGTCCTGCTGCAGCGTTGGCGAATCGCTCTGATGCAGTGCTGGCAATTCGCCTTGAAGAATTCTTGCTAGGTGTCCCAATGCCATTCTAGTCATATCACTTGCATGCCTTATTTGTGAACTCTAATTCTAAATTTCTCAATGTTCTTTTCAGTTCGTTAGTGGAAACTCTGGCCAAGTTTCTCTGTGAACACATCAAGTAGTAAGAACTCTGTTAGAGCGCTACGATCACCCGCACAACCCTGTGCCCTCCTCTGTAGTCCACTCCCACTCTAGAGTGACTCTCCGCATGGTGCGATGAGCGTGGAACGACCCCGCGTTAGAGCCTTCAGATTCGACAAATTTTCACTCCATACCAAAGTCGTTGTAGGCCGCCAACCATCTAGACCGCCATGGACGACCAAGGAGTCGATGCAGGAGTAGAGGATACTCTGCAGGCGCGGTTGGATGCTGTTCGGAAACGCCACGAGGCTGGCGGGTACGGCGAGGCGGACTTGGAGATTTTGCTCCTTGGAACTCGTGCGTAGTGGGCGCGTGAGCATCCCCCTCCCCGTGCTGAAGCGGATGGTGCGCCGCCTCTCCCTGACCCGTACACAACAAAGGTGGCAATGTTGTCAACAGTGGAAGCACGAGGGTCGCGGAGTGATTCGGGCCGCCAAAGTTGGCGTTGGCAGAGTGCAAGCGCAAGTGCTGCGGTCGACGGCGGCTGTAGGCAGCTTGAACGGCAGCACCGATGGTCAACATCATTCTCCTCAGCGGGGTGGAGTCAGGCCGATTTCGACGACTCATGCGTCGGCTGGTCGTGATGGAGGCATCGCACCGTCGTACGGCTACTTCAAATTTTCGCCGGACAAGATCGATGTGCCGAAGCTGCTCGAAGGATGCCACGATTTAATCACATGGATCGAATCCATCGAGCCTCAGCTGGAGATCGCCGGATTGAATAAGTGCATTGACGGCAAGGTGGAGACGCCGGACGAAGATGAATCTGAATTGTGGGCAGAATTTTGCGCCGCTCATCTTCTGACCTTCATGGTCCTTTCGCGGTGCTGTTCGCCACTGGTGCAAGTTGTGTTAAATCCGTGCCGACTTTGTGTGCGACGAATTCTCGCCGACATGCAGATGGCTGGCTTCGAGTACTCGGTGGTGTCGTATGTCATGCATGTCATCAATGGCCTCCCCTCAAGCTACAACCTGATGCGACGGATGCTGATA